GCTATGTGGAGATCTCAGCACCCCAAACCCGAAACCCTAAACCCTAAACCCTAAACTCCAAACCCCAAACCCTAAACCCTAAACCCCAAACCCTAAACCCTCAACCCCAAACCCTAAACCCTAAACCTTAAACCCCTTTGAACTCAACCTGCTCTTCTCTGGTAGCCTCCCAGCCGCAACGATCTTCGCCTGCCTCGGGGGTTTTCTGCGTCTCAGGTGGCCAACAAGACAAAAGCCGCGAAGGAGGCAGCTCCCTCATTCATGAACCAGGGGCCCCCACGCTAGCAGCCGATGAGTCATGAGGAGCTGGCGCAAGGATCAAAAAATGTAGAGGCCTAGATCAGTACCAATACACTTTTGGGGGGTTCCTTACTACAATCTTAGTATAATATTGGGCCCCAAAACCCTATTCTAATTATTAAGGCCTCTATAGTTAGTAGTCAACAGCATCCTATCCTTGGAGCCTTGGAAGGTGGATTTTCATGTAGTGGACGTCCACCTCGCCGAGACCGTCACCCAGGAGGCTGCGGAGGGCGGGTGCTCAACATCTCTTCACGTGCTTGCGGCTCTTCTTGCAGCCTTTGCCCTAAACCCACCCTAAACCCTAAACCCTAAACCCTAAACCCTCAAATGAAACTGGGGATGCTGACTCGAGATAGAGCCTGGAATGGGTAACTCTCCGGAGGAGCTTCTGGCCGAGCTGAAGAAACTAAACGACGACCCTAAGGTCGTTCGATGAGCTGGTATTGCGTTTCTTGACGCCACAGCGCCAAAATGACTTTGTTAGGTGCATGGCATCCTGGTGCAGCTGCCACTGCCAGAGCATATCAACGAAGGAACAATCCTGAAGCACATCCGAGTAGACAAGGACCCCCCTTTTTTCTCTGACTGCTCCTTCCTCGTGCGCTTTGCTTCTGCTTCGTGAGGACGCCGACTGCTTCGCTGCCGAGAATGTTGGCGGCTTAGAGAGGTGCACAGATCCCGCTCAGTGACCGCCAGTCGCTTCGTTGAGGGTTTAGGGGTTATGGTTTAGGGCTGAGCGCGATGCAAAGTCGCAGAGACTCCCGCTGCAGAACCGGCATTGATGGTACGAGGTCGGAAACCTTTGTCTAAAAGGTGGAGATCCACCCTTGGCTGCTCCTCGACCGCATATCTGTTTATTTATGTATCCATGAGGCATGCATGTGTGTATGTATGTATGTATGTATGTATGTATGTATGTATGTATGTATGTATGTATGTATGTATAATATGCATCTACATTATATGTATGTTTTTGTATATCTCTATGTACATGTATATAAATATCGACGAAGTATATGCAGCAGAGGTTTGAATCGGGGCCACAATTGATGTCGAGTAGGGTTTGCTCAGGTACCCTGCACGCCTGCGGGCTGCGTCGAGCTTCTGCAGCGCAGTCGTGTCGACGTGTCTGGCAAGTCGGTGGTTATTCTTGGCAGGCCAACCTCCATGCTGGCATGTCTAGCACCGGAGATCAATTCCGGACATGAGACCCGACTGCAGGTCGAATCTCGTTGGTATGCCCATGGCGCAGCTGCTCCTCTCCATGGATGCCACCGTCACTATCTGCCACTCCAAGTCCCAGGATGTTGCACAGCACCTGCGAGGTGCAGACATCGCCTCCCGGCCTGAGATTCCTGAGATATCGTGATCTCGATAGAACCATGAACGCTAAACTTAGACCCTGAGCCCAGCTACAGCGTAGTCCTGGAAATCCGAGGTTGTCGCTGCCATCGGCCAGGCACAGTTTGTGCGTGGGGGCCTCAAGAGGCCAATACTTCCCATCCTTTCGTTTGCTCGTGGCACCCTAGTCCTAAGCCCCACTCCTCTTGGGCTCAACCTCAATTTGTTCCGAGGCGGAGAGTGGTTGAAGCCGGGCTGCGTCGTCATCGACGTTGGCATCAACTCAGCAACTCAGCTTTGGCACAAAGGTACTTTCCACAGACTAGAGGTCCCTTGTAGTTTCACACTGGACGGGTTCTCATATCCTACTGTTACATTGCAGGGACTATATATGTTTTTGTTTCTTATCTTCTGAAACTCATGTTCGTACCTTCCAGCTTGAAACTGGGGCCGTCACCTTGCAGGCTTCCTACGGGAGCTTGGATGTCTCCTTCGTCTCGCTTGGCTGAGGTGGATGATGCCACGAAGAAGTCGGGTTATCGCTTGGCCACGAGCTGAGTCATACTGTCATACTGTTACTTTCAGACTTAAGAACGTACTGGGAGGATCGCTTAGGAGCACCTGGGAGGATTGGGGTCCTGATGCATTGATTTGGGTAGTGGGGGGTGGAAGGCATTTTGTCGATCGGTGCAGATTCTGACCAGTTCGCGGGTGCGCTTTGCCCTTACCATAAATTATTTCAGCATCCAGGGTCTGTATACATAGAAGGCAGACAGGCGAAAAGCGACAATGCAGTTTGCGTGACTTGCCTGCAGAATCCCATAGGCGAAAGAAGTGCTCGATCATTTTCGCTGTGTCCTGCAAATGAGGCGGCCGAGCAAATAAAGCTTCCACAAAGTAGATGAGCCTGTCCCCTCGTTGGCGGGTATGAAAGTTATCCAAAGGGATCCAAAGGGTTTAGCCTCGCAGCGCTGCTCCCCACTCTTGAAAACCTGCATTGGCATGTGGTGGACGCCCTTCCGCTTTCATCTACGCTGGATAGTGTGCGATTCTGCGAAACTGTTCGCAGCCAAAACATACGCAGAGAGCCGGCTGCAACGGTGCAACCCTGTCAGGGGGGTGGCAACCATTTTGAGCGCCCTGGGAGTTGTCAGTTGTTACTACACGGAAAGAGGTTTCCCGCATTGCTTGGAACCACGGGACTGTGTGGTGTTACTGTCGACGAGTGTTTTTTGACGTGCTCGTGCTCGGCTGCCACCAACAACCGGTCAAGTGGCATTTCAGTACTTGTATCTACGACCCCCCAACCCCTCCTGCATGCCCGAAATGTCCTGTGTACATCGGGGCCCTGTCTCTGACGGACTTGTCTTGAGAAACTACCCGCTCCTAGGTGGGTGATGTGAACTACCCAGAGGTTTTGGGAGTGGCCCAGCTGCATTCGGACCTGAGACGGAGCTTTGAGCTCGAAGCTGCTGCTTAAAGGATCATGGGACTTAGTAAGTAGGGTTATAATTAGGGTAACTATACCTATAACCCCAATTAGGGGACTTATAACCTTCCCATGATCCTCCAAGTGTGCTGTGCTCGAATGCTCTCTGCTTGGATTCGCATGGCCGTCCTTCGTTCAGGTTGCCTCCCTGGTGACTCCAGTGCCAGGGGGCGTCGGTCCCATGACAATTGCCACTGCCCCAGCCCAGGCAACAATTCCTCAAACAGCCCTAAGCCCTAAACCTAAACCCTAAACCGTTCTCTGAGCCGAGGCAATGCTCCTGAAGAATGTTTTGAACCTGGCACGCCAAAGTGCTGGCCTTCCTCGCGTGCCCCTGCGACGAGAGGCGGGTGGTTGGTGCCCCTAAGCCATAAACTCACAAGCTTTAACTCCAAAGCCCTAAGCCTCAAACATCCCCCAAAAAACCCTTCAAACTCTTAACCCTGGACCTCTGAAAGCCCTAAGCCCAGGACAAGGAGAGGGGGCGCCCCCCGTGGCCCCCGCTAAAAAACACCCCATCAGGTCCCCTCGGTGGAGCCGAAGCCTCTCTGAGTCGAGGCGCGAAACCTACTTGGAGGATCATGGGACTTAGTGAGTAAGGTTATAAGTCCCCTATTTGGGGTTATAAGTATAGTTACCCTAATTATAACCCTACTTACTAAGTCCCATGATCCTTTAAGTAGGGGAGTCTCCAGAGTTCCTGCGGTACCTGAAAAGCTGTCTGGTGCTTAGTAGGGAATGGGGGAATGGCTCCCTATGATGGTCCCTGAAGGTCCTTTATAGTAGTCCCTATAACCCATTCCCCCATTCCCTACTAAGCACCAGACAGAAAGGGTCCCTACCTCTGTGACTCAGGAGGGTTCCTGAAAAGAGAAGGGTACCTTTATTGTAAGGATTCCTGCAAGGTTTCATAGAAGGGCTCCTTGCGGCTCTGGGGTGAAGGGTGAAGGGTGCCAGGTGTTTCTGGGGGAGTGTAATCAGGCTCAAGTTTAGGCTTCAGATGCTTGCAGGTACTCGTCTTCCAAATCGAGCGCTGTACAATTTGCTTGACCCGGCCTTCTCTTGACAAAGATGGGGGAGACCTTTGACTTTAATCCTGAGAGGCACTATCACTGGCCAAGTTGGTTTCCAGGCTACAGTTTCAAGCGAGTTGTCGCTCCGGTGAGATAGTGCCCTCTGCCTCTTCCCCATCTTGTGAATTTTGTCGCGCGTGCTTTTAACAGAAGGGCGCCAAAAGCATCGCTGCGCCCCGTTTGTCTTGCGTGTCACAGCTTCGGCACCGTCTTGCAACTCTGTCTGCATTGGCAGAGCTTTCTGCTTTTCTTTCCTGGGGGCCAAAGCCTTTGAAGTGCAGGTTGGAAGAACGACTATATCACCACCGCACGTGCATGTATGTGCATTTAGACATTTGTAATAGTAGAATAGGATCATGCAGATATGCGTATATACATATTATAATATGGTTCTGTTTGAATGCCCACATGCGCCTACATATTCTACACATCCCTTCATGCTCGTTGCCCTAAAAAACATTCCTCCTCTCCTTTCCGCTTTCGCCCCGGGCCATGGCTGGACGGTCTTTCCCGGTCTTGGCGGCCTGCGCGTCGGGCGTGGCCATCGGTTTGGGGCTGCGACGACTGTTGGTGCGTGAGAACCAGGTGGGGCAGCTTAGTAAGGCTTGGTGAGCTTGGGGTTTAGGGCCTGTGGGGTTCGTGGGAACCAGGTGCGACGGTTTAGTAAGGGAGGTTAGTGCCGACGATCACGACGACAAGACTCAGTCACTGCTTCCGCTGCTTGTGATACTGGTAGCGGTGGTGGTAGTAGCCGCTACATTTCGCAATCTCCGTTTCAAAGGCCGTTGAGACCGGGAACGGAGGCGAAGCTAGCAATGTTCAGCCTCGCCTGCATAGCTGACGAGGCAGAACAGGCTCAGAAGGAGGAGACGAATGTCAAGAAGGTCGAAACGAAGAACATCGACGGTAAAGCCATTGCGGCGCAGGCGACGTCTGCAGGTTACTGTCAGCACAGCATCCTCTGTCTCCGAGCCGGTGTCAGACTGAAAGCTGTTTGTGTTTTAGACACCGTTTGGTCAGAGGTTTCATGGTTCAGATCCATGAAGTGCTTGGAGACGCTCATGCAGCAGTCTGCACCACCTTCGTGAGAGTGTTTGTGAGAAGGGTTGGACAGGTCCGTGCTGAAGTCAAAGAGTACGCAGCCTTGGTCTCAGCGTGGGCACGGCCACCGCTTTCTTCTGACATGAGCTTTCCTTCCTGAGAACTCACAAAGACAACAGAGCAAGCAATAACAAAGCAAACCCTAAACCCTAAACCCTTAACCCTAAACCCTAAACCCTAGACACAAGAAGACTCGATCCGATGATCCCAGGCTCAGCTAAAAGCTGAGTGTGGTGTGACTCCTGGCCTTGCCGTCATCTTGGTCGGCTCCCGAAAGGACTCACAGTCCTATGTGCCGCGGCTGAATGCTACGCTTGCTGCGTGTTTGTGGGTGTTGTAGCGTCCTCGCTACCATCACTGCTGGCACGACTTGCAGTACCTTCAGTGGCCTACTAAAATCCTACTACTACTACTACTACTA